AAAGTAATCTAGCCTTCTAGTTGCCTATAGCCTTTGATCCAAGAGGTTTCGAAGCAGATGGGAGATCCACAAGTTCCCAAGTGTGATTTTGAAAAATAGAATCAATTTCACTTTTTACAGCTTCTTTCCAGAGAGGCGCTTCAGCACACTTCATAGCATCAGTATATGTTTGAGACTCGTTTTTAAGGAGATAGGTGAAATATTCATTTCCAGACAACTTTTCAATTCATGCTCATTTGCTTCTTCTGAGTTCAGGTTCCTGACCTGGTTCAGATTCAGATTCAAATATTTCCATTCAATCTTGGTCTTGGTCCTCAGTTTCGTGTTCTCGATTGACCGAACTAGGTTCAACACCTGCCTTTCCAGGGAAAACATTTTCAAAGAATGATACACTCTTTGATTCCATTATCGTATTTTTTTGGGATATCTGAGAGTTTTGAATCCAATACCAAGAATCGATAGGCAGTATTGTTATGTCCATATCCCGATGAAAATGCAGTCCACTGTCTTGGGACCGATTCTCACACATTTGGGAGGTGGCACCACTACCTTAGCTACACACCTCCACACTCGAAAATGTTTGTAAGATGGTTTTCGACCTTTCCAAAGCTCATAAAGGGTCTTCTCTATCTTTTTCCGAGGTATTAAGTTAAACAGATAATTACTGCTTAAAATTGTCTCCCCCCATAGGTTTTGGGGTAGTCCACAACTTAACAACATCGCATTCATCATTTCTTTTAATGTGCGATTTTTGCGTTCCGCAACGCCGTTTGATTGAGGTGAGTAAGGTGGAGTTACTTCGTGAATTATTCCATTTTGTGCACAAAAATCATCGATCAGAGTTTCATATTCTCCACCTCTGTCACTTCGAATTCCTTTAATTTTTTTGTTAAGTTGGTTTTCCACTTCATTTTTGTACAAAACGAATTTACTTAATGCCTCGTCTTTGCTCTTAAGCAAGTAAACATAACAATATTTTGTACAATCGTCAATAAAAATGTGATAAAGTATTTATTACCACCACACGTTTGTACAATTTTTGGATCACATACATCACTGTGAATCAATTCGAGTGGTTTAGTTTCACGATAAATAGTTTGGAAAGACGATCGAGTTTTGTTTTGCTTCCACACAAATTTCACATTTGTGTTTATTTAATTTGAATTTCGGAATGTGGTTCATGTTAATTAATTGACGAATTGAATCATAATTAACATAACCCAATCGACTATGTCACAAAGTAGAGGACTAAACAATATAAGCAACAAACTTATTATTATTATTATTTTCAATAAATGTCATAATACAACATTTCAAAAGTCCACCCTCTCCATATCCTTTACCCACATACACTCATGATTTACGCAAAGCAAAATTATCACCATTCATATTAATATTAAAGTCGTGTTTCATTAGGAGTGTCCCGAGACTAGGTTCTTTTCATCGCTGGTATGTAGAGGACATTAGCCAGCGTCACGACTCTTCCAGATGTCATCTTCAGTAGCACCTTTCCTCTTCCCTTGACTTCTGCAGGAGCAACATTCCGCATGTACATCGTTTCTCCTTCGACACGCTCGAATAAGGAGAACTGATTCTTGTCCATGCAGATATGGCGAGTTGCTCCCGTGTCTAGCCACCATTGTTTCTTGTTTGATCCCACCAGATCTTCTTCAGAGACAACACATGTCAGGTCGAGTGACTCTTCATCTTTAGTAACGACGTGTGCCTGATTCGTCTCTTTCTTTCTTTTCGGCGCCTTGCAATCTATCAAACGGTGTCCGACCTTTCCGAAATTAAAACATGTGCCTTTGAAGGTACTCTTTTCCTTTCCAACGCCGCCAGATGGCTTCAACTTCTCTTTTCCCTTGTCCGTTAGCTTCCAGTTCTTTCCTGGTTGCTCATTGTTCCTCGGAGCTGTCCAGAAACGAGAGCCTTGGCCTTTGTGCTCGACTACATTGGCCTTGCTGCCGAGTATCAGATGTCCCCTGCTTGCCAGGTTCGATCTATGCTCCTCTTCAGTTTGGAGACGATTAATCAGTCTCGCCATATCTATTTCCTTTCGTTTGTGTTTCAAGTAAATTTTGAAATCACCTCAGCTAGGTGTAATTTTTCAATTATCATCGCCACTTGGAAAGCTTCACTCAACTCCATTCCCTCGGCCTGGATCTTATGCAAAATCAGCTGAAACGCATCAAGCTGTTTCGTAACGCTTTTTCCTTGACCATTTTGAAATCCAGAACCGACCGACGGTAAATATTTTTGCATCAGCATCCTCAGTTATGTACTTTTTCTCCAGCGTCTCCCACAGTTGCTTAGTCGTTAATGCATGCCGGTAGAAACCGCACAAGGAGTCGCTTAGGCCGTTCAGTACATAATTTTTGCACATAAAGTCTGAACAGTTCCGACTTTCAGAATTTGTGTTTTTTGTTTTTCCGAGGATCCTTCAGGCACAACAGGTGCATCCTCCGTCAATCAATCTGCAAGATTTAGCGTGGTCAGATAAAACAACATCTTTTGTTGCCATGTTTTAAAATTCTGCCGGTCGAATTTCTCTGGCGTATCGGCTGCCGCAGGAATAGGCTGCCTGAAAGTTATAGCAACAGGCTGCATTGCATGGTCCGTAACAGCAACGAGCTGTATACCCTCCAAATCGTCTCGTTGTTGTCCGACAGACACAACGAGACTCTGGGCAAGTCCTACAGCCATACGCTGTGGATGAGGCATAACAATAGCAGGCTGTTTCAGTCGGGCATCAACAGGATGCCGTTTCTGCATTCCAGCAACAAGCTGGTTGGAGGTCGCAGCAGCAGGCTGCGCCCCCTCCATCGGGCCTTGAAGGCCTGTTCGTATGCTGTCTTCGCAGCCTTTTCCGCAACAGCCCTCCTGGCCGCCTCGCGCGCTTCACGCCTAGCAGCAGCGATTTCAGCGGCTTCACTTGTTGTGCGGGGTGGTTGAGATAACGGAACAATAGGAGCGGGAGTGTGAGACTCGCTGGGATTCACCTCCTCATTCTTGTCTCCGTCAGCACCATTCTGAACATCATCATTCAGATCATTTAGATTTCTGTCAGGATCATTCATCGTGTCAATCATCGCTTCATCTTCAGGTACAATCTGGGCAGCCGCGATTTGATTGTGGATATGGGAAATTTCGTCACCCATCTTAGATTTCCACATGACGGGAATATGCTTCAAATATTTAGTAAATATGCAATATTGAAAATTGAGATGCTTCAACTTGAAATCAGATAACATATCTGATTAGGAAGATTCGAATTTCGTGTTGCACGCAATCTACTTGAAGCAAATTCGGCCCGCCACCGATTGCTTCCCGGGATAAAATGAATCGGTTAGGGATTTAAAATCCCATAACGAACCGAACCAAGAAACGATAGAAGTTTTTGGAGGAGAAATTAATATGAAAGGAAAAAAAATATAATTGAGAGCAGAATTTTGATTCACGTTCAGGTTTTTGTTGGCTGTGTTCTTTAATTTAAGAAGAAGAAGATTAAATCACGTGGCCACTAAAACCGTAAACACCTCAACACAATCCAATATATATAGTAACATTTTTTTTATTTTTCCGATTAAAATTTGAAACAGTCAAAATTAATTAATCACATAAAATAAAATTTAAAATAATTGGAACTTTTCTTATTGGGCCCAGCCCACGAGCTCCCACGGCCCAAAGGCTCAAGGCCCAATCTTGATTCTTTCTCTCTCTATATATATACCCAATTCCAAGCCCAAGTCAAAGCCTAAGCCCAAGCCCAAGCCATTATCTTATTGAATCTAATCCCAATTGAACAATAAATGGGAATAAATGCTTATAAGAAGGTCGTGGTTTGTTTGTTCTTCCCATGTGGGACAAGGCCAATTACTATTTATTTATTTATATATTTCTTCTCCTCTTTCACACACTAAAAAGAAAAATGTAATATATAGTGGTTCAGCCCCTAGTACACCAACGTACACACGATTCAAACAATAGATGACAAGAACCAACACCCAAAGATGCGACCAAACAGCTCAATAGTCCCTATCCTCTCGCAACTATCAGTCTACTTTTGAAGACAAACCCTAGATTTATTTGACTTACCATAAACAAGAACACACCACTCAAAAAATCAATCAAACAAAGGGATGAATAAGATATAATCAGTCTCAGCGTCACCGGAAACAAGATCACCGGTTCTCAAACTTCATAAAATACACAGCTTGGAACTGAGAGGACTTACCTTAGAGAGAGGATTAGAGAGTAAGAAAAATGAAAGAATAACCATTGAGAGAGAATGAAAGATGATAGAGAAGATATGAATGAGTAATGGCTGCGAATATACAACATATATATATAAGGTCGGAATCAATAGGTAACAAAAAACCCTCCATCGGACGGATGTGGATTATCTCGAAAAGTGGATCCATGGGCCTTAGAAAATTGGCTTGGTTCTTACTTGGCCTTTGGATCAATTTGCGGCTCAAATATCACATGTCAAACTTAACAATCCTCCACTTAGTTTTTGTTCATACATCTATATACAATCTGCACAATCATCATCAACACTTTAGCTGTCTCCAGTAGAACGAAAAAAGGTGAACATCATATTGCTTAGGCGACACTGAGCCAACCGTGTCAACAATTTGGCAATTTAGCAACTTACTAATTATAATTCATTAATATTTATTATACAATATAAAATGCTAGCATTAAATCAAACTTTTAATAACTTTTAAATAAATGGCAAAAATAAAATTTTCCTATAAAATTCCTTGTCGAGGATAATTGGTAGATTCCCAGGTATGTCAATGCAACATACTAGTGGCGTATCATTAGCAAAAGATAATGCAAGTTGATGTAGAACAAACAACAAAAATGTGTTGTATTAGATTGAAAATCAAATACAATATCTTTACAAACATTTAAGACAAAGATCAAGAAATTGTAAAGCAGAGAAAAGTATAAAGTTAACATTTTAGAACATGAGCATCATATACAACAAACAACAATGTCCTCAGAATAAATAACGTCCTCCAGAATAAATATCAAGAGAACATTAAGTTTACATCAACACAACTACAACACTCTCAATTTACAACAAGTTATCAAAGTGCTAAATTTTCCCTCCATTGTAGTTCATCCTGGGACGAGCAAGAAAGTTTGATCTGCAATTGAAGGAAAGAACAGAACATTCACATGAGACATAAGAAAGGGATACACCATGATCACATACCGTGATAAACAAACTCCCGCCACAATAACCGGCACACTTGACGAATGATTTTTTTTTTTTTTTAAATCAGATTATTCCCTTGACACACTAATGGATAAGAACTCTTCTAATTGTATTAGATGTATAGACATTATTTACATAGCAACATTAGTCACTAAAGAGAAAATCACATCATCTTCTGCAAAACTTCGCCATTTTAGTTCGTTGGGGTTTGAGTTTTGTATAGTAAAAAAAATTGAATTGATATAATTATATTATGTGATATAAATAAGTATAGATATGATATTTTTAAATTTGAAATTAAAATTTTAGTATAATATAAAAGAATAAGTGTTTGATTTAACATTTTATGGAAGAACAAATTTCATAAATAGTATAAGACAACAAAGATATTTCAACCAAACACACAAATAATTTTGTAACAAATTTAGTGATTCAAATGCAAGACCATCTTTCAAGAAAAGAGCTAACCTGTACAGCGCTTGCAGCAATCGTTGGACCTTCTACTTTACCACTGAGTGCTCCCCATCAGGACAAAGTGACGTGATATTCATCCTACCCTTTTTGCCACTAAGAACCCCATCCTTAAATGGAGCAATTGTACCAACCATTGAAACAAGTTCTAACTGACCCTACAAAAAAATATATAATCATACTAAAAGGAATTAAATAGATGAATAAATAACAAAAAATCTGATAAAAATATAAGTAAACAAATTTAAGGTTAACCCCAATCAAACAAGAATGAAAAAACAATATAGATGTCAGTAAATTAAGAAACCTCATATATTGAGTGTTCCCATCCTTGCCCATAATGGCAGATTGTGGCGAGTGACAAGATCCCACCGGTTGCATTTACGAAAACAACCCCTGGTTCTATCGTCGCAACTTCCATTACGTTTATGAATATATCCTGAAAAAATATGCCTAGAAGTTTAGTACAGTAAAAGTGGAAGGATAGGAGCTCTCATCAAGGTAAAGAAAGCATAGTTTAACGGCTATGAAGAGACAAATGTATGACGGAGATTAGTCATCGTCAACCTAAATAATCAATGCACTTCATGTATTTAACTACATATTTAATTACAAGCATACTGATTAATGATAAGTGCAATGATCTACTCATTGACGACACGTGGCATACCATTATATAGCACACATATAAATGTTTATGATGCAAGTAAGTCATACAAGACAGATTAAAACAGTTAATACACATGCAATTGTCAAGAGTTTGCATAAGAGAAATTATCAGTATGTTAAAATATTTACCTCCGCTTTGTTGACCGTAAGGATATGCTGTTCGATAGATCCTCCTAGAAAAATTTGTCAAGAGTGTTTAAGGTTAGATCAAATTCATATACTTAGATAACAATGTTAAAAACGCAAAGCCATAATAAAAATCTCTGGAAGATTAGATCTTAAGCTTTACATTCAATAATCTAACCTGGCGCCACAGTCCTCTCTCTGTGAGTTGTCTTTGTGCGTGCCATCGTTCAACAAGAAAATTAAACCTTCGATTTCGAAACTAATCTGTGTAAAATAAAAATAAAAAATAAAAAAATTGCTATACCGAAATGGACAATCAAATCTGACAACGAGTAGAAAGCTCAGATGATCACAAACTTAGATAGAACAACTCTACAAATTTATTTATTTTTTTTTGTCATTGTCATCCTTAAACCCTTCAATGTTTTGTTTTGTTTTTTTTTTTGTGCTACAACCATCTTGCAAGTGTTTAATTGAGTATTTGGAGCTCTTTCCTGTGTTTGAGAGAATGTCTAAGACAAGTAGGGTGGGTATTGAAAAAAAAAAAACAGATAAGAGAAGCTTTGTAAAAACAGGGACAATAACGCAGAGGAAAAAACTGTTGTAGAAATACAAAACCTGTTTCAAGTAGTGAGAGTGAACATTATAGAAGTAAATGTTAGATAGAGGTAATGCTTGTTTTTCTCATCTTCTTTTGGATGCATAATATCATGAGATATTAAATTTTATTGATGGAGAATGTTTGTGTAATTATATATATATAGGCACACACTCTCACATTTGATAAGCGAATGATTAAAATTTGTAGAGAGAGTAGAATATATACACGCACTCTAACATTTTTGATAAATGATTGGTGTAGATTTGTATAAAGACAATATAGATTTGTGAGACATTCAATGTTCATCTTGTACACCTATAAATTTACAATAATGATAATGGATATAGTAACATGTCCAGACTATTGAAACAATTTCAAATAGACCATGCACGATAAATAAATAATTATAAACAAGGCAATAGATAAATAATACACATGTAGACAAACCAAAAGGTAACCTCCAATCAAAAAAGAATGGAAAATCAATATAGATGTCAGTAAATTAAGAAACCTTGTATATTGTGGGTTCGCAATATTGCACATGAAGACAGATTGTGGCCCATGATAAGGTCCAACTGGTTTCTTTCATAGAAACAACCCCAAGTTCTGTTGTCGTAGCATCTCTAATTTTTCTTAGTATACCTTGAAAAGAATGCCAATAAGTTCAGCACATTACAAGTGGAAGTGATAGGAGCTATCACTAAGGTAAAAAAAGTATAATGGAATGGCTATGGAAAGGCAAAATATATGATAGAGATTAATCATCGTCAACATAATATTCAATGTAGTTCATTTTTATAAACATACTATATTACGAACATAGCGATTAATGACATGTTCAATGATCTAAACCTTGACGACGCCCGACATATCATTAGATGGTACACGTATAACTTTTTACGATGCAAGTAAAATCATACAAAACTGACTAAAACATTTAATACTCATGCAATTGTCAAGAGTTTGCATAAGAGAAATTATTAGTATGTTGAAATATTTAACCTCTCCTTTGTTTTAATTGAGAATATGATGTTTGAATCTTCTTATCACAATTTCCAAAATGCAAAGACATAATAAAAATCTTTGGAAGATTAGATCTTATGTTTCACATTTAATAATATTTCCTAAGGGGTCGAGCCAAAGTTTCCTAGCATGCTGGCAGGTCGACCCAGCCACAGTTGTTGGGTTGGAGTATGCAGCCGGCGCCATTGCCTCAGAATCCTTTCTGGAGATAAGATTTTATTTCTTTATGTGCGCCATAGTTCAATCCGAAAAATTAAACCTTTGAAGACTGAAAAGTTATTGTAATGACAATATGAACTGAAAATAGATTTTAACTATGAAAACCACAAGAAATCGAATAAAAAATAATGTAATGTAAAATAGTAAAGTAAGTTTTCATTAAAAATCAAAACCACTTAGAGTTAACAAAGTGTATAGTGGTTCAGCCCCTACTACACCAACATACAAACGATTCAAACAATAGATGACAAGAACCAATACCCAAAGATGCGACCAAACAACTCACTAGTTCCTATCCTCTTGCAACTGTCGATCTACTTTTGAAGACAAACCCTAGATTTATTTGACTTACCGTAAACAAGAACACACCACTCACAAAATCAATCAAACAAAGGGAAGAAGAAGACATAATCAGTCTCTGTGTCACTGGAAACAAGATCACCGGTTCTTAAACTTCACAAAATACACAGCTAGGAACTAAGAGGACTTACCTTAGAGAGAGGATTAGAGAGTAAGAAAAATGAAAGAATAACCATTGAGAGAGAATGAAAGATGATAGGGAAGATATGAATGAGTAATGGCTGCGCATATACAACATATATATATATATTAGGTCGGAATGAATAGGTAACAAAAAAACCCTCCATCGGACAGATGTGGATTAATCTCGAAAGTGGATCCGTGGGCCTTAGAAAATTGGCTTGGTTCTTACTTGGCCTTTGGATCAATTTGCTCCTCAAATATCACATGTCAAAATTAACAATCCTCCACCTAGTTTTTGTTCATACAAGTGTTTAGGGTCTTCATTGCCAAAAATTAAATTAAATTCCTGTGTAAATACAACAAAATTGTCAACAAAGAAATTTTAAAAATTGCATTCATGATTTAAACCTGCAACTACACATAAAATTAGTCGTACATGTTACTCATATGTATAACAATATATAGCCTTCCTGAATGACTCGAATTTATTAGAAGATAATACTCTTGTTCCAATATTATGAGGATTAAATTGGGAAGGAAGTTTCTCCAATTTTATTAATTCCTTAGCCATTATAGCTTTAATGAAGTGAAAATGTACATCAACATGTTTAGTTCTGTCATGAAATACGAGATTCTTACACAATTGATACCAGATCTAGTATCCAAAAAAATAGTAACGAAATTATGCAAATATCTGATTTTGGAGATTAAACCTTTGAACGAAATCTTGTAGGAGATTTTCAAATATATTTAAGGTAGAATATATATATATAAATGATATATGTATAGAAATAAAAATAAGTATCATGCATGTTCGTATAGTAACTCTGAAAATCTCATCAAAATAAAAAATACATCTTTGATTGGTGATTATCAAGGTCGATCTCAACGAATATGCCAATATGCTATGTTCAATTAGAAAACGCGGAATGAGTTAATGCTATCTAACGGCTGAAAAATAACCTAGTTACTAAAACTGAATTTAACCTAACTAAAAATATATATGTGGAGTTATTTTTGGCCGATGACAAGTGAGGCCGGTAATGCACAAACCCGCACAACCCGAAACCCGGATCCAGTAACCCGAACCAAATCCGGTCTTCTGTGAAACAAGCGGTCCACAGCTGAACCGAACCCGGTCCTGTTCTCTGACTTATATATAAAGGGGCAGAGGAGAGGGGGCCCGGTTTGATACATACATACAGACTCTCACTCACACTCTCAGATTTTCTCTCTCCCCGACTCCAGCGATTCTTCTCTCCTAAAAGCCCTAATTGCGACGGCGACTCCAGCGATCTTCCTTGGGTTTCTCCGGTGATCTGTCCGGCGATTTGACTGGTTCGACTGAGCTCTTTGATAAACAGCCTGTGCTGAGGCTGTTCCTCGGTTTGATTTACGATTTCGAGCATTTCTTTACAGTGTATTGAATATATTGTCTGTTAGGGAAGGGTTAGGCTTAAATCATTTGTGTTTTCGTTAGATCGTGGTCTGGTTCGCATGTTTGTTGCGTTTCCGTGGATTTTGGTTGTATTTGGGTTGTTATTGTGCATTACAGTGGGTGTTAGGATCGATTTTAGATTGGGTAACCTGAGTCCGAGCATTTGCTTTCGTTTAATAAAAGATTCTTTAAGTTCTTTGGTTTAATTCGTGTGTTTCTTGTATATATATGGCATATTGATCTTGAATGTGTAACAACAAGTGGTATCAGAGCCTATATGTCATTTTGAGTTTACTGGAAAGTTGAAAAGCGAGATTTATGGTGAACAACTTGTTCTCATTGTAAAAACCAGAAGGTTTTTTGTAAATAGATTCAAGGCTGTGCGAAATCTAGTTAGAGAACATTACTGGATTGAAAACTTGTTTGTGAAGTGGTGTTAAACACCCTTGAAAAGTTTGATTTCTCCTTGAAAAGGCTTTAGTTAGCCTTGTAGGAGATTAAGACTTGAAATCACCCCGATATTGGTTGATTTGTATGGTTTTCTTTTAGCTAAACCATCCAAACTTTACTAATTTGTGTATTAAGTGCGCAGTGAACAAGTTTTGTTAGGTAAAGTGGCCTGGATTACGAAAAGAACGGCAAAGAACTGTTGCGGAGCAAGGAGTGGGTAAAATTGCATTTCAATACAAGCTTTTAATGTGCTATTTGAGTGTTGTGCTGTGCTTGTTTTTAAAATTGGCCGTTTGAGAGTTTAATTGACTATTTTGAGGTTTTAGTTGACTGTTTGAGTGAATTTTTGTTGGCTGTTAGTTGCTTAGTTGTTTGTTAAGTGATTTGTTGTGGTTGTTGAGTGGTTAGTTGCCTAGTCTTGTTGTGAATCAGTTTAATAACTGTTTTTTAGTTAGTAATATTAACTACCCTAAAAGTTGGTTTTCAAAAGAAACTAACTCAAGGATTGGTTGATATTAATAGGTCAAAATTGAGGTTGTTTTGCAAATTCTAGTTTAGCTAAGCAAAAACCAGAAGCTGGTCGTTTTTAAAAAATTCAATTTTGTGTGAAACTGGACTGTTTTTGAAAATACAGTGAAATATTTTCTAAAATCTGTAAAATGGCAGGTCAAACCTATTTTAATATACAACCATTTGATGGAAAAATTGATTTTTTTATTTGAAAACAAAAAATGAGAAGTGTTCTTGTAACCCAAAGATTAATAAAAGCTGTGGAAGTTGATCCAGCAGCCGAAATTCCTACTGCAAAGAGGAATGAGCTTGATGAACTTGCATCATCTTGTATTATCTTGAACTTAGCTGATTCTGTAATAAGAAAACTAGGGTCTTATGAATCAGCCAAGGACTTGTGGGACAAGTTAAATGAAATGTATACTTAAAATTCTCTTCCAAATAGAAAACATCTTTTAGAAAAGTTTTTTAGTTACAAATTAGACCTTTCAAAGTCAATAGATGAAAATTTAGATGTTTTTACCAAATTAATTCAAGATATTAAACTAACAAGGGATAAAAAAATAGATAATTACAACTCTATTGTCTTGTTAAATGCCATTCCTAGTGCATATTCAGATGTAAAATCAGTAATAAAATATGGTAGGGATGAAATTACACTTAATGTGGTTATAAATGGTCTAAAAAGTAAGGAAGTAGACTTGCCACTTAATAAATCTAACAAACAATCACATGGTGAAGTCATGCATGTTAGGGGTAGATTTCCTTTTAGGGATAACAAGAATGGTTCTTATTCAAATACTAATAAGCATGGAAATAGCTCATATAATAGTCAATATAAGAAGAAACCTAGAAGTAAGTCTAGAAATAGGTCTGAAACACCCTCTAAGTTCATTAGGAGGTGTTTTAATTGTGGGGATCCCTCACATTTCATTAGGAACTGCCCTAAGAAAGGTAGAAACAATGCAACTAATAATAACAATGTTAACATAGGAACAGCCCCTATAAATACTACTTTGAATGAGCAAGCAAACTTGATATTACATGATGAAGGATGTATGGGTGATGTTTTGTTGTAACAGCCGATTGTTCAAACATAACAGATTTTAACAAAAATGAGTGGTTATTAGACTCGGCTTGTACCTATCATATGACTCCTTTTAAGGAATTTTTTTGTGATTACAAAACTCTTTCAAATTGTAATGTTACAATGGTTGATAATAGGGTTAGTGGAGTCATGGGAATAGGGACTGTTGTGTTAAGATTTGGTTCAGGAAATGTGTTGAAACTTTCAATGTGAGACATGTTCCAAATTTGTCAAACAACTTGCTTTCATGTGCTGGTTTGTCTTCTCTAGGCTTAGAGGGGAAATGGGGAATGAATTTTATGAAAATTACAAAGGGTTGTTTAGTTATTTTCAAGGTTGTTTTGAAGAATAACCTCTATATGGTGACTGATGTGCCTGAAATTAAATCTGAATTGTGTGTTAATGTTGTAAAAGATAACACTGTGTTGTAGCATAGAAGATTGGGTCATTTAAGTAATAGAGAGTTAAAGATTTTACAGAAATCTGGATATTTTGGTCTTGAAAAACTTTCAGCTTTACCATTTTGTGAAAATTACATTTATGGAAAACACCAAAAAGTTTCATTTCCTCAAAAACCAACTGAAAACAGAATTTTTTCAAGAGATTGCTTGGAATATCTTCACTCGGATGTGTGGGGTCCTTCAAGTGAACCCACACATGGAGGGAGAAGATATTTTTTTTCAATAATTGATGATTTTTCAAGAAAGGTTTGAGTTTTTTTGCTGAAACAGAAATCTGATGTATTTGAGATCTTAAAAAACTGGGAAATTGCAATTGAAAATCAAACGGGAAAGAGGATTAAGTGCTTAAGAACTGATAATGGCTTGGAATTTTGCAATACTTGGTTTGATAATTTTTGCATTGAAAATGGAATAAGAAGACATAAAACAGCCCCTTACAACCCCCAACAAAATGGGGTTGCTGAAATGATGAACCGAACTTTATTAGAAAGAGTTCAAAGCTTATTAGCTTCTTCGGGTTTATCCAAGAGTTTTTGGGGCGAGGCTGTTAAAACAGCCTCCTACCTAATAAATTGATCTCCCTCAGTACTTTTAAAAGGTGCTTGTCCCGAGTCTATTTGGAGTGGTATGCATATAGATTTGTCCAATCTAAGAGTTTTTGGCTGTTTAGCGTTTATACGTGTTTTAAGTGATAAACTTGAGCCTAGGGCTGAGAAATGTATCTTTCTAGGATATCCCGAATGAGTAAAGGGATATAGGTTGTGGTTAAATTCAAAACCTGGTTTTAAAACATTTATTAGTCGAGATGTAGCATTTAATGAAAGTGAAATGCCCTGTTTGAAAGAAAATCAGTCCGTAATTGATGAAAACTCAGCGATTAGTAACTCAAATAATACTCAAAGTGAGGTGGAGCAAACTCATTCTAATTCAGCCGAGGAAGAGGCTGAATTAAGTGAGAATTTGGCTCCAAATGTGACTATTTTTGATACAGCCATCTATACCAGCTGCCGCGCATGAACCGATTTCAGCGCTCCTCTCTAGAGAAGAAGCAGAACGCGCCATCACCTACAGCCCTTTCCTCTGCCGGGGACTTCCAGTGCTGATCTAGATTACAGCACAGAAGATGCTGAATC